GCAGTGAGTCGTACTTGACTTAGCAGTACCTAAAAACAACAATATCTCATAAGAACTAGGCTCAGGCCAAAGCTGATTCTTAGGAGGTAGGATTTAGACATATTCCTACTCTCCAATCTTTTACTAATTCTAATACCAATTGTCCCTCTCACGACACTTTCTACTTCTCTTCTAAGTTTGATAATCCATTGTGATGGCAACTTAGAACTCACAGACCATACTTAAGCAATTTATTAAGGAAATGGCAGAATGTAACTCAGATCCAGATTAACCGGCTCTGAGTCATAATCAGGATCAAAAAGCATGTAAGCAACTCCCAGAAGTAGAGCACATATCCCCTCCTTCTTCAGTGTAAATCATCTCTCTCAGCACCTTTGAGTGGTCCTTCTCTCTCCTCTGTACACCTCCTCAGCCATGCAGGTCTTCTGCCATTCTGCTCAAGGACAGGACTTCTCTTGACCTCTTCAGGACAGGATCCCCCAAGCTGCGTGGGTCTCCTCTCAGTCATACAGGGCCCCCTTCAGCAGTCTAGGCAGACCCTTCTGAGCTGTGCGGGTCCCCTCTTAGCCATCCAGGGCGCTCCCAGAAGTCCAGGACCCTCTGAGCTATGCAGGCCCCCTCTCAGTCATGCAGGGCCCCACTAAGCTTTGCAGGCTCTTCTCTCGACTGTCCATTCACCCCTCAGCTGTACAAATCCACCCTCAGCTGTGGAGGCCCACTCTGCTGTTGTTTCTCTGCCATCTCCTTTGCTGACTAACCCAGCTCATAACCAGTGTGGCAGTTCGGCTCAGCTTTCTTAGGAGCATTCTTAGCAGCAGATTTCTGCTGTCGCTACTGATTCCAGTTCTACAAAAGGTCCAACCTACGTCTCTCTTTCTCTCCCTTCTTCTTTTCCTCCCTTCCTCCCTCTCTTGCTCTCTCCCTCCATCCTCCTTTTCACTTCTTAATATGATGAAGTTCTAAAGCCCAGGTTGTTACAAAAGCAGTATTTTGACAGAAGGAATAGATCCAGAAGCAGTCTTGGAACCTGGAGCCTCTGAAGTACTGTGTCCCAAGCACAGCTGTGTTCTGGACTCCACAGTCCTGATGCCAAGGTTGGGGGTTGACCCTCAGAAATACCTTGGGCCCAGCTGCTAAAGTAGAGGCACAGTTGGCAGTTCTGGGGCTCAGGCAACAGGTGGAGCTAAGAGTCAAGACAGTTGGGATTGCTGCCCCTGCCCCTTGCAGCCACTCCCTCTGTACCCCGGTCACCTGCTCCCTCTCCCAGGCCAGGGAGGACCCCACAGAAATGAATAGCATGCTCCTAGTGTTTAAGAGCTTGAGGCTGAAAGCCTGGAGACTAGCTGCTGCTCACAGGAGGGATTGAGCAGCCTGAGCCGTGGGTGAAGGGCAGCAGCTGCTGATGCAGCCCGAGTCCCCTTCCCACTGGAGGAACTGGGCACAGGAGCAGCAATCTCACCTTCCTTCTGGGCCGCTCTGGCTCCTCATATGTCTTCTCAGAGAGGTTCCCTCAAAATCTGCCCCAGGCACATCTTTTATACAAAGAGCTGCAGCAAGCAGTGACACCAGCAGTGGCTCAGAGACCAGCAAGAGGCTTCAGAGGAGCTGCCTGCTTCAGCAGAAAGCCTAACAGACACGACTGGAAGCTTAAAATGTTGTGAGCTAGTCAATAAGTGAGGAAGAGGAGGTACACAAGCCAAGTCCTGGTCAGTTTCCAGGCCTGGCTGTCCCACCAGCACCATGAACTGACCAATCCCCTCTCAGGAAGCCACAGTCATTGCATTTGAGCTGTTGTTATTGGGTGCCACTGAATCAAGTACAACTCAGCAAGTCCATGAACAAATAGATCTGAACCTGTCCTATCTTGCACCATCTTTTACATCCCTAACACACTTGAGCCCATTGCTGTAGTCACTGTATCAATCTGTCTTGTTGAGGGCCTTCTTCTCTTTCACTGACCCTCCAATTCTCCAAGCAGCCTGTCTCCAAGGGATAGGCTGCATATATACACCCCATTGCTTTTGGGTTTATTTCACTCCACAGTGACCCTGTAGAACAGTGGAGAACTGTGCTGTGCATTTACAGTTTCCAAGGTTGTAATTCTATTTGGAAGCAGATTTTCAGATCTGTCTTTTGTGGAGGTTAGTGAGTTCAAAGGACCAACCTTCTGGCTATCAGTGGTTAACCACTGCACCGCCATGAAGCGTGTAGGCTTTAATTCCTTCATTTGTATATTAACTCATTCCTTTAGGGTGTGCAAAATAGACCAGATACAAGATAGGCTGTAGCCCAAGGCCACATAAAAAATATGAAACTATCTCCTGCTTGCTGAAACTGAGGAGGACCTGAAGCTTTGCTACAGAGGGTCAAGGACTGCAGCCTCCAATATGGATTGAGGCTCAATGTCAAGAAGACAAAGATTCTCACCACTGAATGGATGGTGAAGAGATTGAGTTTGTTCACAGCTTTAGTTTACTTGGCTCCACAGTCAACACTCTTGGCACCGGTAGCCAGGAAATTAAAAGACATATTGCGATGGGAAAGTCTGCTGTTACGGACCTCTCCAAAGTACTGAAGAGCAATGCTGTCTCTCTGGAGACTAAGGTTCGTCTGATACAGGCCATGGTCTTTGCTATCACTTGTTATGCATCAGAGAGTTGGACAATGACTAGGGAGGATAAAAGGAGAATTGATACCTTTGAGCTGTGGTGCTGGAGAAGAGTATTGAGGATACCATGGACTGCTAAGAAAACAAACAGATTCATCCTAGAGAGGGTTAAACCAGATGGTTCCTTGGAGACAACGATTCTGAGGCTCCATCTAATATACTTTGGACATGTAAGGAGGGACCGGCCCTTGGAGAGGGACAGCATGCTTGGTAGGGTGGAGGGGGACAGCGCAGGAGGGGAAGAAGGCCCTCTATGAGGTGGATTGATTCAGTGACTGGGGTAATCGGGATGGGTATATTGGAGACAGTGCGATTGGCACAGGACAGAGCCGAGTTTAGGGCTGTTGTACATAGGGTCGCTATGAGTCATAAGCAACTTGACGGCACATAACAACAACAATCAAGTTATTTGTATCTTACCCAGGAAATGTCAGTTAACCTGTACAAAATAAGAAGCCCTCTAAGGCATTAATCTAGGGCAAAAGGAACTCCTCAGGGCTTAGGGAGAAAATATGCTGTTTTACCTGAAAAACAAACAAACAAAAAAACCACCAAGGCAAAAGGCCACATAAAGGAACTCATTTACTATATCCTGCTTTGGCAGAAAAATGATATAAAGTTCAATGAATGAGTTGGGTGATAGATTAGCACTCCCTGCCAGTAGGTTAGTTGGGCTACCTAGTTGAAGGGTTTTGATTGTTTTCATTTACCCCTGCCCCAGTAACCTACATTCCTTATTTTTTATTATTAAATGAACACATCAGAAATTGTGGGTGCCTGTCTTCTATGGGAATGTGCTATACTCAGCTTTCCCATAAAGACTTCTAGTCCCTCTGAGCTGATTCCTCTGGGGACAGAAGGTTGGCCCTCTGGACAGTCGCATGCCCACAGCACTTGGAAGGCGGTGTGTGCATGTGGTCTGTGTGTACAATAAAGCACGAGGAGACCAAGGCCAGTCAAAATCTGAATTCATTGTTTATCTTAGTTATTTTTGTTCCTTACCATTGTTGTTATGTGCCATCAAGTCGCCCACAACTCATAGCGACCCTGTGTACAACAGCCCTAAATCCTACTCAATCTTGTGGCTATCTTATTGTCTCTGATACACTTACCCCCATTACCACAGTTACTGAATCAGTCCATCTCATCAAGGGTCTTCCTCTCCTGTGCTGTCCCTCCACCCTCCCAAACATGACATCCCTCTACAAGCACTGGTCCCTCCTTGCAACATGTCCAAAGTATGTCAGACAAAGCTTCAGAATCTTTGCCTTCAAGGAGCATCCTGATTTCACCCTCCCCAGAACAAAGCTATTCGTTCTCTTAACAGTCCATGGTATATTCAGTATTCTTCTCCAATGCCACAGCTCAAAGGCATCAATTCTCCTTCTATCATCCCTAGTCATTGTCCAGCTCTCTGATGCATAGCAAGCGATTGCAAAGACCATAGCTTCTATCAAGCACACCTTAGTCTCCAGACTAACATCATTGCTCTTCAGTATTTTGGTGAGGTCTCTGACAGCAGATTTTCCCAACACAATACATCTTTTCATTTCCTGGCTGCTGGTGCTGAGAGTGTTGATTATGGAGCCAAGCAAACTAATTCTGTTTACAGCCTCAATCTCTTCACCATCCATCACAATGCTGCCACTCAGCCAATTGGTGAGAATCTTTGTTTTCTTGATATTGAGCCTTAATCCATATTGAAGGCTGTAGTCCTTGACCTTCTGCAGCAAGCTCTTCAGGTCATCTTCTGTTCCAGCAAGCAGGGTTGTGTCATCTGCATAATGCAGATTGTTGATGAGTCTTCCTCCAATCCTGATGCTGCATTTCTCCTCATAGAGTCCAGCCTCCGAGATAATATGTTCTACATATAGATTGAAAAGGTATGGAGATAGGACACATCCCTGGTGTCCCAAAGAATGGTTATTAATAAACATGGGTTAGATTAATTCAGAGGAATTACATGGGAGGGGATGCTGATCTTAAACAGCACAGCCTTCATGGTGGTGACATGGTGGTCCAGGTACTTCACAGCCTGGGAGTACCAAGTGGATGGTGGAAGCCACATGGAGATTGAAAATGGTGGTGTCTGCATGCACAAGTCTCCCCAAAATGTCAGTGAAACAGAAAAAGTATACATTATTAAGATATATTCTAAATGCCTGAAGCAGGACAGGCAAGTTTGTTGTATTATTAATAATAATGTAGCAAAACAATTGATCCTTAGTGTGCTATATGTTGTATGTCTACACTATTTCACATGAGAAATTTTATAAGATAAACTCAGACAACGTCACCCACAGTGGATGATTTCTATTTCTTTATGTTTTAGGTCCTCCTGGTCCCAGGGGCCCCAAAGGTGACAGAGGATCCCAGGGACCACCCGGTCCAACTGGCAACAAAGGACAAAAAGGAGAGAAGGGGGAGCCGGGTCCTCCAGGCCCAGCTGGTGAGAGAGGACCAATTGGACCTGCAGGCCCCCCTGGAGAGCGAGGCAGCAAAGGCTCCAAAGGTTCACAGGGTCCCAAAGGGTCCCGCGGGTCCCCTGGGAAACCTGGCCCACAGGGCCCCAGTGGAGACCCAGGCCCCCCAGGCCCACCAGGCAAGGATGGACTCCCTGGCCCCCAGGGGCCACCTGGCTTCCAGGGCCTGCAGGGCACTGTTGGGGAGCCTGGGGTGCCTGGACCCCGGGGACTGCCAGGCTTGCCGGGGGTACCTGGTCTGCCTGGCCCCAAAGGCCCCCCTGGCCCTCCAGGACCATCAGGTGCAGCCATGCCCCTGGCCCTGCAGAACGAGCCCACTTCAGCACCAGAGGCCAACGGTGAGTCCTCAACTCACACATGCAGCCCCACGCCTCCCCTCACTTACATGTGTGCCCATGAAAATAATGGGAGCATGATCTCTGCTGCTTTAGCTGCTCTAACAGGCTCCAGCCCTCCTCCCCACAGCGCCCCCCACCATGGTGCTGCTCTCTCTGAGCATGCTCGGGTTCACACACCCTTGTTTATTTAGCCCTCAGACCACCTCATCCCAAACATTCCCCTCACAGGAGCCTGAAGGGCCCCTCCCTGACTCCACTGTCCCCTGTCTACCTCTGCCCTGGGGTGGACCTTTCCCTGCTGATTCTATCAACATGCCGTGGAACTTTCTGTTGCTGACATCTAGATTTCATGTGAAGTCGTTGTTTTGGTGGCAGTGGCATATTTTGTTTGGGGTTTTAATTTTTCTTTTTAGAAAGTGTCAGTGTATCTCAATTTCTTTGATAATTAGAACTTTTAGCAAAACTCATTACTTTCTTTTTTTAAGGGATCAAGCCTGTTCTTTCTCTCCCTTCACCCAAGGGAGTTGCACTCAACCCCTTCCGGAGGATCTCGCTTATCTCTGATTGGACCCCCTTCCTCAGGACCTGCCCATCTCTGTTGTCACTTTGAGGCCTGGGGCCTCGCATCTCTTTGATCACAGGTCCCATGAGATTCCAGATGACACTGAACATTTGTGTCTGTCCCACTTTCCGTTGTTTTCATTGTTGTTTCTGTCACTGCAAAGACTAATCCAGATGCAGAGGAACAAAGACCCAGGCACAGATATTTTCCAGATATTGTGGTTTTAGCTACTGTGTCCCCCTCGCTTCGCTTCTCTGTGCTCGTCTGTGCTCCATCAAGGAACTGCCTGCCTCCACTCACGAAGCAGGGACTGTTATTTGCTTGCAGACAAAACAGGGACACCACTGTGGTCTCTTAAACATACGGGAAGGAAGGTTTGGTCCTTTGGCCATAATTTTTTAAAAAAAATTTTATACTGGTTTGCTTACAAAGCTCGTATACATTGTTTTTCCATACTATCTTCATTCATATTGTGTTTAATGCAATCACTCCCATTCATTATATTTTATAAAATTAATCAACACCAAAATATGTTTGGGCATATTTTTAACCAGTGCTTTAAATCTTTGCACTGATAGGTTGCCCTCCTCGCTGGAAGAACTTCACAGACAATTGCTACTATTTTTCGGCTGAGAAAGAAATTTTTGATGATGCCAAACTTTTTTGTGAAGACAAGTCTTCACACCTCGTCTACATAAACACAAGAGAGGAACAGGTATGTTTGCAGCCTATTTAATTTGGGGTAAACTGTAATTTAAGGATCATTTGCATCTGATTACTGGGGACTGAAAGCCATCAAGAGTTCATATTCACATAAACACACCTGGAAGAGTCCATTATGGAAATTTTAGGGGCTGTGCAGAGACTCCAAGCATTCATGGCATGGAAAGTATGTCCTCATCATTTCACCTGCAAGATAATAAATGCTTATCAAGCTTGGAGATGTGTGGCTCCTCCCAGCAACTGTGGGCAGAGTCTGGGTACAGAAAAGAAGTGTGGGTTAGCCCAGACATGTGGAGAGAAAAGCTAGAGACTTGACCCCCTAAGAGTGGGACAGCATCCAAGAAAGGGCTGTGTGGTCCCTGCAGGATCCAAAAGGGCCAAGAGCTGTGGATGCAGAGCCTATGCATGGTAGCAAGCACGTGGTTAGAGCAGACAGCATGCCCAACTGCTAACCAAAAGGGTAGAAGTTGGCATCCAACCAGAAGCACCTTTAAAGAAAGGGCTGGTGATCTACTTCCCAAAAATCCACGATTAAAAACCCTGTGAAAGAGTCCTGCTCTGCTCATGTGGGATCACTAAGAGTTAGAAACAGCTTAGTAGCATCTGGTTATGTGTCAGACACTGTGTGAAACACCTTCTCATTAAACCTCACAACAGCCTTAGAGCATGAGTGGGATTATCCCCCATTTTACAGAGAAGAACACTGAGACCTGGCATAGTATAAGGAATTTACTTATGGCACGGGTAAATGCAGAGCTGAGACTCACATTGAACTAAGGTCTGTGGAGTAACAATGCCAGTGCTCTCTCTCTCAAACTGTTGGTGGTCTCTTCAAAGGCTCTCCTGAAGACACAGCCCAACTAACAGGTGCTTCCCTGGGGAAATGACCAGGATAGAGCCTATAAAACATATGGACTTTAGAACATTCAGACCTGGGTTCAATTCAAGCTTAATCACTTACAACAAACAAACAAAAAACCATACCTGTACCTTTGTTAAAAAACAAAGGGAGATAAAAAGGCATTTACTATCTTCAAATCAATTCTTAACCTGGTTAGATTTGTGCTACGACAGTTTTTGCCAGCTAACTTTTCAGAAGTACATTGCTAGATCTTTTTTCAAGGCATGTCTGGGTGGATTCAAACCCCCAGCCTTTCCTATAGCCACTTACACCACTCAGGCATTCCTGTCTGTCTTTGTTAGCTTGGTGGTTGTGAAGATTTAGAGACACAGAGCATGCAGCATGCTTGGTGTGGCGCCCATCACTCCAAAGTGGCATGGTAATTACTATTGTTAGAACATAGGAGCCATGGGCCATGAATGGTAAGCAAAACCATTTTAATATCTCAGTGATTTAGAGAAGGAGGAATATCACTTGTAAACTAAGAGGGGAAAAATACCAAAGTTCCTAAAGCAGTATAAAAAAAGTGCCATGAGAAAGAGAACAGCAAAGATGGTGTTCATGTTCTGACAAACATCATCTCTTCAGTTGTGATTTATTCCTCAATTGTTTAAAAAAAAATCCCTGGGGATCTGTTCCTAGAATTAATAATGTGCTTCTACTCATTTCTTTTTCAGCAATGGATAAAAAAGCAGATCGTAGGGAGAGATAGCCACTGGATTGGGCTCACGGACTCAGAGCAGGAAAATGAGTGGAAGTGGCTGGATGGGACAGTTCCAGAGTATAAGTGAGTCCTCGGCATCGTCCACGATGGGGGACACTGCGCTGTGCACCCCTTCCCTGACTCCCTGCAATTTATTCTTCAGTGACCTTGCATGCTTTCATACTGAGGCTCCTGGATACCAACACATGACATAGTTCTTAGTTGTATGCAGGAAAATTTGGTCCAGTATTAATGTGCCATAAAGTGGGTTTTGATTATAATTTTTGGTTTTGTTTTCATAGAATGATTTTTGGTTTGTTTCAAAGAAAAAAAATTGTAAGACATTCCTAAAATTGAAAAACAGAATTAATCCTCACCAATGTGCTTTCTTTAAATTCTCCTGAGAGGTGGCCCCAACAACCTTGGGCACAGACAGAGTTTACCCCTCCAGAGCATCTGAGAAGCTGGGTTGCCTTCCGGGTAGTATGAGCAGTGTGTCCATCCCAGACCAACTTCAGGCCAGATTTTATTATCTTGGCCTATAAGTTTATGACCATTCTACAAACTGGATGTTCAGGTACACCACAGGCAAATCTCCCTTGAGCGAACCAGCGCCTGAAAGATTTAAGACATCTTAGAAATCAGATAAGACCTGAGCACTGCTAACCCGAGGCTAAGCCTTTCTGGCAGTTTTAATCCACCAGCTGCTCGAGAAGAGAAGATGGGCAATCTCTTCCCAGGCTCGTTACAGCCTCAGAAACTCAGGGGAGGGTCAGCTATGAGTGAATGCCACCTCAACAACGTGAGTCAGTCAAATATGAGCACATCCACTTGGCAACTAGCATCTTCAAAGAAAGATCCTATTTCAAATAGGGTCAAATAATGCTTTCAAATAGGGCTTCAGCTCCCCTTTTTGGCTGACACAGTTTAATCCATAACATTATTTCAGGGTCTAAAAGTGACTCAACGGTCCCAATTTGAATTGCACTTCTTCCTGTTCATGCTTTAACTCTAATGGATGCAAAAACATGCCCCCAAAATGGCCCAAATTGAACAGAATGCTTGAAATTCCACTTCTAAACAGGCTTTAGTGTGTACAACCCAGAGTGGATGCAAGCCCAATGCAGGCATGGGAAGCCCTTTCCAATGCAGCTGGACCATCGCAGAAGCCTAGTGGTTCACCCTCTGAGGGCATTCCAACCCTGCAAGACAGAAAGCGTGATGCATCTGATCTAATGTAACCATAACATCTTCAGACACAGATCTGTATTCATCCAGGAGTGGGCATAGAGATCCAGAGGCAAGAGGCAAGGTGGAATTTTAGAAGTTTCTTTCTCTGGGTGCATGTGAGCTGTGCGCATGGGCAAATGGGTACATGCCCCTGTGTGTCTACAATTTAAAGAGCGCAATTAGAGAATGCAGGTGAAATCTTAGGGAGCTCTGATGACCTAGTGGTACGAAGCTGTACTGCAATCCTGAAGGCACACAGTTCAAATCTACCAGCTGCTCAGCGGGAGAAGGATGGGCAGTCTCCTCCTGTATGATTAACTACCTCTGAAAACTCACTGGAGGGTCAGCTATGGTTTGGTTTGAACTCAGTGGAGCACAACAACAACAGGTGAAATCATGATTAAAGTCATGTTGTTAAAAAGAAAAGAAGAAGAAAAAATGGCGCCCAAATGTGGATGTAAACATCTGAAGGTTTTCAATCTCTGCAGGTGGACTCTGACTGTTCCAAAGAGCAGGGAGTAGTTGCCTGCAGTTCTGGGGGTCGTTCCTGCTATAATTCCTTGGGGGAGGAAGCTTCATCCCACTTGGCACCATGAGGATGGCCTGAACCACCCAGAAGAGGCCCAGTATTGTCAAGAATGCCCTCAAAAGACAGTTATTAATTAGCATCTCAAAAAGACACACACATTGGAGGGCCAGACGTGACCTAAGAGATGATTAAAAGAAAAGGTAAATTTGTTTGACAGTCAAGAGTGACAAGACTTCTTGGCAAGGCAGGAAGAGAGAGAGAGAGAAGTCTATTTCCTCCACTTTTCTTATTGCCATTAATACAAACAAGGTCTGGGTTAGACTCACTGAGAAACTCAATCCTAAGCCTTCCTTCAAGAAAACGCTTTGTTGGCCCATATGGAACAGATTGACCCAAAGCCTAATTGTCTGCTCTCCCAAGATGAAACTCTTCTCCCCTTTCTGGGGCTGCAGCAAGAACTATGTGGTTTAGGAGGGGAGTGTGAGCTCTGGCACCGAGGACACTGACAAGTACTGAGTCGTGACACCTCTCATTTGAAGCTGAGTCCCCAGATGCGACCACCAGCTGCCCCGGAGCTCCCCTCAGAGCCTTGGCATCTGCACCAGCCACAGCGCCAACCCTGCTTCTCATTCCTCACAGAAAAGAGCTAATGCCATCTCCAAAATGTCAGGATCAAATTTTAAAAGCAAAAATAAATTAGGCAGACATATTCTGAAGTCCCAATAATGACATGCTAATTTAACTTAGCATATAATAATAAACATGACACAGACTAGACAAAGAGCTGGTACAGCGATGTGGAGAGAGTACGGGCTCCACAGTCAATGGAGTCTGGGTTCAAGGCCTTGGCTTAACAGCCAAGTGGACTCATCGCATGAGGTTTCTGCTTGCTCAGCCAGGAAAGGGGTATCTCCAAAGTCCCTGCCTTAGTCTTGTGAAAATCAAATGAAAAATATATACGTGAAATATTTCATTAATACAGAACCTAGTACCTGGAATCCGCTTGAGACATATCATTTGCTAGTATTTCTAGTTGGATTAAACAGTAGTAGTAATATTACGTGCAAGCAAAATTTTTCTGACAACAACTTAAAAAATGATTGGAGCAGTACACTGACAGTGAACAAACAGAAATTCAAGTGAAATTTACAAGAGGAGATGGAATAAGGAGTGTCACGGCTGACATCAGATGGATCTTGGCTGAAAGAAAAGAATACCAAAAAAGATATTTTCTTTATTTTGTTGAGTACACAAAGGCACTCTACTGTGTATGCCATAATAAATTATGGCTGTAACATTATGAAGAATAAGAATGCCAGAACACTTAATTGTTTTCACAGAGAACCTGTACATAAAGCATGAAACAATCATTCAAATAGAACAAGGGAACACTGTATAGTTTAAAATCAGGAAATATGTGCATCAAGATTGTATCCCTTTTCCATACCTGTCCAATATGTATCGCCAATATCACAAGCAAGCAAAATTCTGCTGAAGATTATCCAAAAATGACTGGAACAAGTACATTGACAGAGAACTGCCAGAAATACAAATGGGTTTAGAAGAGGTCATGACACTAGAGATATTATCATCAATGTCAGATAGATCTTGATAGAAAGCTAAGATTACCAGAGGAATGTCTATCTGTGTTTCATTGCCTATGCAAAGGCATTTGACTGTGTGGGTCACAACAAAATGTGGCTAACCTTGCAGAAAATGGAAAACCCATAACACTTGATTTTGCTTATGTGGAACCTATATTTGGACCAGGAAGCAGTTCTCAGAACAGAGCAAGGAAACACTGCAGGCTTCAAAATCATGAAAAGAGGATGTCAATATATTTGCAGAACAGAACATTCTGGAAGTTGGGCTTTGTGAGGAGAAATGTAGCATCAGGTGGAAGACTCAACAACCTATGTTAAGTGGATGACACAACCTTGCTTGCTGGAACTGAAGAGGATCTGAAGCACGTGCTGCAGACAGTCGAGGACTGTAGTCTTCAATGTGGATTGAAGCTCAACATCAAGAAGACAAAGATTCTTGCCACTGGGCCAGTTGGCAGCACCATGATGGATGGAGAAGATATTGAGGCTATTAACAGTTACAGCTTGCTTGGCTCCACAGTCAACACTCTTGGCATCAGCAGTCAGGAAACCAAAAGACTAATTGCATTGGGAAAATCTGCTGTTAGGGACCTCTCCAGAGAGCTAGAAAGCAACGATGTCAGTCTAGAAACTAAGGTATGTCTAGTCCAGTCTGTGGTCTTCTCAGTTACTTGCTATGCATCAGTGAGTTGGACAGTGACTAAAGATGACAGAAGAAGAATTGATGCCTTTGAGTTGTGGTACTGGAGAAGAGTCTTGAACATAACATGGACCCCCAAGAAAACAAATAAGTCTGTCTTGGAGTGGGTGAAACTAAGTTTCTCCTTGGAGGCTAAGATTTTGAAGCTACATCTCACATGATATCATCACGTGGAATTGGAAATGCCTTTGGAAACCAGCCTTTGGAAAAGGACATCATACTTGTTGGAAAGTTGAAGGGACAGCGCAGGAGAGGAAGACCCCAGATGAGATGGATTGATATAGTAACTGGAGTAATGGGGGGGGTAGGTGTGTCAGAATCAGTGAGACTGACTCAGGACAAGGCAGGCTTCAGAGCTGCTGTGGGTTGCTTGTGACTCGACAGCACATAAGAACAACATCCAGTCTGTATGCTGAGCAAATAATCTGAGTAGCTGACCTATATGAAAAAGAACATTGATCAAGTTTGGAGGGAGGCTCTTCAACACCGTGCAATACACAGATGACACAGTAACTTTACTTGCAGAAAAAAAGATGAAGCACCTACTGTTGAAGATCAAAGACTACTGTACCTTCAGTACAGATTGCATCTCAATACAAAGAAAACTGAAGTCCTCACAGTTGGACTGATAAGCAACATCATGATATATAGAGAAAAGACTGAAGTTGTCACTGATTTCATTTTGCTTGAATCTACAATTAACACCTATGGGAACAGCAGTCATGAAATCAAATGACATATTGTATTGGGCAAATCTGCTTCAAAGGACCTCTAAAAAGTGCTAAAAGTAAGTATGTCACCTCTAACCAAATGGTTGCAAGTTCCTCTTAACACCTCAACAAGGACAAGACAAACAAGTACAGAAGGACAGACATGAAAAGACACTTCACCAAAGACAACTTTCCAATGTCCATCAAACACATGAAGAAATGCTTACAATTTCTGCAGAGTCAGAACCATATCTACTTTCCGTGGATTTTCAGAGGCCCCTACGTTAGCATAGGGATCTGTATGAGAGGAA